GGGGGTAGGGGCAGGGGTAGCTGGTGGAGAGCGTTTCGCCCGAAAAATAAAAGGTGACGGCCGAGAGCAGGGCATTTCGCCATCACACGAAAACGTCAGGTGCAGGGAGAGGGAGGGGGAGGGGGGCGGTGTTGTGTGGTGTGTGGGAGGAGGGTTCGGTCGGTGACAAGCAGGGATTGGAGGGGTGGGGTGGGGGTAGGGGTGGGGAGGGGGGTAGGGTGGGGGTGGGCGTTGCGGTGAGGGTAGTAAGGGGGGGGGGGGGGGGGAAGGGCTGTGGTCGTCGTCACCAGAAGGAGGAAGAGCGTGGCAAAACGCACCGTCGAGTTCACAAGAAACAGGTGCCAGTCGCTCTCGCCGTTCACTCGAAAAAGCGTCGGGCACAGTGTGCACGCTTCGTGAGCGTCACGATTTGTTTTGAAGTGGAACGATGGATTGGGTTCTGCATGGGGTTTTTTTTTCTCTCGTGGTGGGCAGTGCAGTTGACTATTGACTACATACATGTAGTCGCTGGGGAATGGTGGTGGGCTGTTTCAGCAGTGTGTGCGTGTGTGTGTGTGTGTGTGTGTGTGTGTGTGTGTGTGTGTGTGTGTGTGTGTGTGTGTGATGAAGAACGAGTGTGATCGAGTCCGTGTGTGTGATCGAGTCCGGGAGGCATAGGATGCGGTGGTAATTGCTAGCGTGGTAGTCTTCGTTGGTGTGGCTGCAGTTGGCGTGTTTCCCGCTGGGTGCAAAGGTCGGATCTTCGTCGCCTGGCTCGACGTCGCCTGGCTCTTGCGTCGGCTGGCTTTGCGTCGGCGAGTTGAATTGCAGCTGATCGGCTGCCATCCGCCGTTTCGAGTTGGGTGGAGCACAGAAGGGGTAGGGACGGCGGCATGACTCCACCAACACCAGCACCGCACGCGCACGCGCATCCAGGTTGTAGGGAGGAGGAACGAGTGAGAGAGGTCATGCCCGAGTCCAAGACTGCGGCACGGTCGCGTCAGTACAAGGAGGTCCAGGCGCTGGACAAGCAGATGAAGGCGCTCATTGCCAAGGCCAAGAAGGCTCGCGACAAGAAGCGCAAGGCCGAGCTGATCCAGGAGCACGAGCAGAAGAAGGCCGAGATGCTGGCTCGGCATGAGGCTGAGCTCGCGGCCATCGAGGCCGGCAACGAGGGCGGGGACGTTGGGGAGGCCCCGGCAGAAGCAGAGGCAGAGGCCGAGTCGGAGGCGGAGGCGGCAGCACCGGACGCAGCGGCGTCGGCAGAGGCCGAGGAGGCGGTACCGGCGCCGGCGCCGGCGCCGGCCGCGGAGGAGAACAAGACGACAAGCGAGTCGCTGGGGAGCATGAAGAAGCGCCACGCGCACGAGATGCGGACGATGATCAAGGAGTTTGACACCAAGATCAAGGCGGCCAAGAAGAAGAAGGCCCTCAAGCGCGAGCTGCAGGTCGAGAAGGCCAAGGCCGAGGCCGAGATGGAGGCGCGGCACGCAGCCGAGCTGGCGGCGCATCCGGACAACAGCGGCGAGGGCGCCTCGGGCGCGGCGGCGAGCAGCGGAGCCGACGGAAGCGAGGCCGCGGCCGCCATGGCTGCCGACGCCGGGACCGGCTTCCGCATCACGGTCGGGCGCAAGTCGAAGAGCCAGCTGAAGAAGGAGCGCAAGGCGGCCGAGGTTGCCAAGCGGCGGGCCGAGGCACAGGCTGCAGTCGACGCGCTTGGCGAGACGAAGCGCCAAAAGGAAGCCGCGGCAATTGCCGACCGGCTCCTCCCGCAGCGGCTGCGGATCGTCTCGATTGTGCCGGACGGCCACTGCATGTTTGCCGCAACGCTGCACCAGCTTGGCGAGCCGGCGTCCGAGGTCATGGCCCTCCGCAAGCAGGTCGTTGACCACATCCGTGCCAACCGTGACGAGTATGCGCCGTTCATGATGAACGCCGCCGGCTCAACCATGACCGACGACCAATTTGAGGCCTACTGCGTCCGCATGGAGACCACGCCGGCTTGGGGTGGCCAGCTCGAGCTCGCTGCCCTCACCGCAGTCGTCAACCGGCCCATCCACATCTACAACGCCCAGGAGACTATCGTCATGGGCGAGGACAAGGCCGGCGACCCGCTCCGTCTCTCCTACCATCTCCACGAGCTCTCCCTTGGCGAGCATTACAACTCGGTCGTCGCCTTCCCAGACGATGCTTAGCGTACCCCCCTCCCCCCTCCCCGATATGCCATACCACTGTAAAGCCATGGTCTTCCACTGATCACGCCCAACTGCGACGATGCCATGCCTTGCCCTGCCCTTCCAGCTCCGTCAACACCACCATCAATTAATGGTCATTGACCACCACTCTCGACTACAACCACCCAACCATGGGGAGCCTCTTCCGCAGTGAGGAGGTACGGACAGCCACCCCCCCCCCCTTCCCCTCCCCCCCCACCACACACACCCCATACTCACATGCGCTCTTTCCCCCTCCCCCCTCCCCCCACACACAGATGCACCTCATTGAAATGGTTGTGCAGGCCGAGGCCGCCCATGCTACAGTGGAGGAGCTGGGACGGACTGGTGTCGTCCAGTTTGTCGATGTACGTCACGGCCACACACCCTCCCCCCTCCCCCCCGTCCCCCCTCTTCCCCCACCGCTGTACCCATACCCCCCCCCCCACACGACACACACACATATATATATATATACCACCCACCACCCACTACACCACTACCAACTTTGCGTGGTCCTGACCCATCCCTACCCCTCACACTAGCCCCACCCTTGTCACACCCCTCCCCCGTCCGACCGGCACGTGACTTTTTCCCCTGCGACAACCCATACTCACCATGACGTCGCCCTCCAATACCATCAACTTCTGTTACAGCTCAACCCGGAGCTCAACGCGTTCCAGAGGTCATACGTCAACGATGTCAAGCGGTGTGATGAGCTGGAGCGCAAGCTGAGGTTCTTCAAGGAGCAGGTGGAGAAGGCAGGCTTGCCCATTGCGCCCAAGACCGAGGCCGGGGCGGCGGCTACCGAGGCGTCGTCGCTGGTTCAAGGCGCGCGGCGGGGGCGTAGATACGGTGGCGCCGGTGCAGGGATGGCGGCGCCGGCCGACGCCGGTGGGGCTAACCTCGACGACCTCGAGGAGCACTTTGTCGAGCTCGAGGCTGGCCTTGTGCAGCTTAACGCGAACCAGGAGATTCTCGACTCGGCCGCCAACGAGCTGACCGAGCTGCAGTGCCTGCTGGCGCAGACCTCTGTGTTCTTTGACGACGCTGGCGCAGCCGGCGACGTCTTTGTCTCGCAGACGTCGGCGCTTGACGCCAACGGCCCGTCGGCGTCGTCGCCGCTGCTCGGGACCGGGGGGCGGCTGGGCGAGTCTGCGCCAGGGGCCGGCACGGCGTCGTCGCGCGCAGTCCAGCTTGGCTACGTCTCGGGCCTGCTGGAGCAGACCAAGATGGCGCGGTTCGAGCGGCTGCTGTGGCGGGCGACGCGTGGCAACCACATCCTCCGGCAGTGCACCGAGGCGGTGGAGCTGAGCGATCCTGCTAGCGGCGAGCCTGTCTCGAAGATTGCCTTTATCGTCTTTTTCCAGGGCGCGCGGCTGCGGACCAAGATCACCAAGATGTGCGAGTCGTACGGTGCCAACCTGTACGAGACGCCCGACACGGCGAGCGCGCGGCAGCAGCTGCTTGTCGAGGTGGAGGCGCGGATGGACGATCTCGAGCTGACGCTCGACTCGGCCGCGGAGCAGCGCGAGCGGGTGCTGAGCGTCATTGCGGCCTCGCTGGAGGACTGGCTCGACATTGTCAACCGCGAGCAGCGCATTTACCACGCGCTCAATCTGTGGAAGAGCGACGTGTCGTCGCGCGCGCTCGTGGCGCGGGCGTGGGCTCCGGTGTGGGGCGACTCCCAGATCGAGGCTGCGCTCGCCCGCGGTGTCGCCCGCTCGGGCGCCTCGGTCCAGTCGTTCTTTGAGGTCAAGGTCACGTCGTCGCCGCCGCCGACGTACTTTGTCACCAACAAGTACACCGCCGGTTTCCAGGCGCTCATGGACGCGTACGGCATGGCCCGCTACCAGGAGGCCAACGCCGGTGTGTTCACCATCATCACCTTCCCCTTCCTCTTTGCGGTCATGTTTGGCGACCTCGGCCACGGTGCGCTCCTCACCATGTTTGCCGCCATCCTCGTCGCCTACGAGGGCCGCATCGCCCGCATCCCGGGCCGCCCCGAGATGTTCAACATGCTCTTCAACGGCCGTTACCTCATCCTCGCCATGGGCGTCTTTGCCATGTACGCCGGCCTCCTCTACAACGACTGCTTCGGCTTCTCGATCGACTTTTTCGGCTCCAACTGGTCGCGTCCCTCGGACGGCGACGCCCACCTCATCGACCCGGACCGCGTCTATCCGTTTGGCGTCGACCCGGGCTGGGCAGGTGCTACCAACAAGCTGCAGTTTTACAACTCGTTCAAGATGAAGACCGCCATCATCTACGGCGTGACCCAGATGCTCTTTGGCGTCGTCCTCTCGCTCACCAACCACCTGTACTACGGCAACTACATCGACGTCTGGACGCGCTTCATTCCCGAGGTCCTGTTCCTCGGCGGCATGTTTGGCTACATGGTCATCCTCATCATCTACAAGTGGGTCACCGTCATCCCGGACCCGCCGCTCATCCTCACCGTCATGATCGACATGTTCCTCAAGGCCGGCTCAGTCCCGGCCAAGGATGAGATGTACTCGGGCCAGGGCGCCGTCCAGATCATTCTCGTCTTTGTCCTCCTCGTCGCCATTCCCTGGCTCCTCCTCCCCAAGCCCATCATCCTGTGGATGCGCAAGAAGGCCGCCGCGCGCCGCGCCGGCCACAGCCACGGCGGCGCCACCGAGGCCCTCCTCGCGCCCGCCGCCGACGGCACCGAGCCCGAGGGCGACGGCCACGGGCACGACATGGGCGAGATCGTCATCCACCAGATCATCCACACCATCGAGTACGTCCTCGGCACCGTCTCCAACACGGCCTCGTACCTCCGCCTCTGGGCCCTCTCCCTTGCCCACGCCGAGCTCTCCGAAGTCATCCTCGACCAGGTCCTCTTCCGCGGCCTCAAGGCCGGCTCGGCCCCGCTCATCTTTGCCGCCTTTACCGTCTGGGCTCTCGCCACCGTCGGCATCCTCATGATCATGGAGTCGCTCTCGGCCTTCCTCCACGCTCTCCGCCTCCACTGGGTCGAGTTCCTCTCCAAGTTTGGAGCCTCGGATGGCTGGAAGTTTGAGCCGTTCAATCTCGATGCCCCGGTCGCTGCCGAGTAGTGTGTTCCCAGCTGGCTAAACGCATCCACGCTGTGACGTGGGCCGTCTCACGCGCTGCTAGGCCCGGCCTCGACCCCCGGCACCACCGCAGCGGCCATGGCCTCGTCGTGCACCTCGCGGACCCGCGCCGTCACGGCCTCCATGTTCGACGCGTGGAGCATGTCCGGCAAGTCCAGCTCCAGCTCGAGCGAGGCCTGGTACGCCTCCCACACCGAGTCGGCATAGATGGCGATAAAGACGCTGTCGAGCGCCACAATGGCGTTGCGGAGGCGGACAATGGCCTTGCGCGCATCGAGCGGGACCGACTTGAACGGCGGGCCGGTGTCCGCCGCCGCCGTCGACACGTCGTTCATCGACGAGGGAATGGCGCCCGTGGCCGAGGCGCTCGCCACGTCGTCGCCCTCAGCCTCGGGCGGCGACGGCGTGAGCCAGATGTAGCCGTTAAAGCCAAAGATGGCGTCGATGCCGCAGGGGAACGAGTGGAAATGCGAGGCCGTCCGCTTCATCAGCGAAGGGTTGACCGCCACAAGCAGGCCGTCGACGAGCTTGCCGTACTTTGACGAGCGCGTAGCCAGCGAGCACCCACCATCCGCATACAGCGATTGGACCTCTGCCGAAATGAGGTCGCCCTCTGCAAAGAACGACCGCATGAGCAGCTCGTCCGCCGCCGACCGTCGGCGCTGTGTTGATCCCGGAATGTTGATCGACGACAGCATCAGCACCGCGTCCTGCTGCGACTGCACGTCGACCTTCCACCGCTTGTGCGCCACCTCGACAATGCGGCCCACCACCACGTCGCCAATACGCGCCACAAACCGCGACTTGAGCGGAACGACCGAGATTAGCTTGTTGACCTGTGTCACCATGCCCGCCACCGTCGCACACAGCATGCCGTCTTTGGGGTATGTGCCGTGGCCACTGTCGTCACGTTGTAGCCGGGGTAAACATCATGAGCCGCATGATGACCGTGATGATGCAAAACAGCCATAGCAAAAGCAGACCTCACCGATGATCACAAGAAGGAGAAGGAGCAGCCACCACATCCCCAAGTAGAGGGACAAATAGGGCGGCGGACGGAGCGACAGCGAGGCAGAGAGGCAGCAAACACAGAGAGAGACGGAGAGGCAGCGAACACAGAGAGAGACGGAGAGGCAGCGAACACAGAGAGAGACGGAGAGGCAGCGAACACAGAGAGACAGAGAGAGAGAGAGAGAGAGAGACAGACAGACAGACAGACAGACAGACAGACAGACAGACAGACAGATATACACATACACATACACACAGACACACATACATATAAGTAACGGCATTGCTCACCCCACCCCCTACCCCCCCCCCCCCTCCCCCTCCCCCGCCCTCTCCCCCCCATCCCGCCCATCTCGCCACACCACCATGAGCCAAGGGCGCACGTACCGAAGGAAGCCGTCGTGTGGGAGAATGACCTCACCGGGAACAACCACACGTGTGTCCACTGTACGGGTCGTCTGTGTCGAGCTTGCATACGCAGGGAGCGCAAGCCGGCTGGTCTTGGACATGGCGCAAGTCGCAGACAAGTGCCAAGTCACCGTCGCTGGTGCCGTCGCTCCGCCCCTCGATCTCGACGTCGCTCTCGCTCTCGCTCTCGCCCTTGCTCTCGCTCATCCCATCCCGTTGCCATCGCCAAAACTCTTGTTGGTACAGCCCGGGCTTTGCCTGCTGGCTGATCGGAGGCAAAGGTTGCCAATCGCGGCGCACAGTGTTCGGCGTGTGGTCGTCGGTATGGTCGTCCGACTGGGAGATTGGGGGTTGAGGGGGGGGCTGGAGGTGGCGATGATCGGATCGGACCGAGGAGGCTGGCTGCTCATGGAGAAATCAATGGCTGGGGGGTGCCCGCTACAGCCAGGGGATGGGAGACAGCTGGTGTAGATAGGCTATGCTCAAGCTGCAGCGCGAGCTCGTCGTCGTTTTGCACGAAGACGATCAACAATTTTCGTCACAAGGTCACATTTCCCACATTGTCCATGTCGGAGATGTTGACGGTGGGAGAAAGCGACGGCACGGCCCCCTGGTGCCCGCTACAGCCAGGGGATGGGAGACAGCTGGTGTAGATGGGCTATGCTCAAGCTGCAGCGCGAGCTCGTCGTTCTGAGAGGAGAACTCTGAGAGCAAAAAAGAATCAGGTTTGGAGCTCCTCTCTGCCGCAGCATGAAAGCTTTATCGACGATGAAAATGACAAGGCGTTCGAGCACATCAGATCGCGGCTACTAGGACGAAGAGCTGCTTTCCAAATACTCGGTATAGTCGGAGGTGTATGACGACGACTCCAAGTCCGGGTCCAACGTCGGCGGGCTCAGATGAATATCGTATGAGGCAAGGACATCCTCGGTGTTAGCCTCATCCCCCAGATCGTTACACACGTTCTTGGCAGCGCGTACGAACGCCTCAAGGCCTTGGAACTTGCGCTCAGCAAAGAGGTTCTCGACAACGTCAGAGCCAAGCAAGCCGCCGACGGCCTTAGCCTTCTCCTCCTTGTGCCACAGGTCCGACGCGGTGAGCAGCTCGCCAAAGATGGGCAGAATGATGAGCACAAAGGCGTCGGTGATTTTCTCGACAACCAGCTCACCACGGAAGCAGAGAATGCCAACAATAAGGAGAGCGACATGAACGATGATGCCCAGAATTGACTTGACGTCAAACTTAACGCCAAAGAAATAATCGTCGTCCGCCTCCTTCTCCAGCATCTTGCCCCATTCGTCAGTGATGGTGACGACACGCTCAACCGATCCCATGCCGTTCTGCTTGAACACCGTATAGCCTGCCGGCGACGATGACTTGGCGCTGAGGAACCGCATGGCGGACCGGAGGTTGTGCGTCCGCGCCAGATTGTGCAGCAGGGTCAGAGTCTGGAGGGACCAGGCGATGACAAAAAAGACAAAGCCAGCGACGCGCAGAAACTCCCCATTCTCGCCGCCCTCAGAGACCGCCATGATCTCGGCCACAATCGAGGAGGACACAAAGGCCTCGGTGATCGAAAAGAACCGCTCCACTCCAGCCTGCAGCGTCTGCTTTTCGATAGGCCCGCTGGTGGTCGATGACGAAGTTGATGAATCATTTTTCTGCTCCGCGCATCACTACCCAATGAGTCCCCCCCCCTTCCCCCCTCCCCTTCCACTGCCCGAAGCACCAGTAGATGTGCCGTACCGCCGGCATGATTTCGTTCTTGGACGTTTCTCGTTGAGACAAAGAGTGCGTGCGAGTGAGGTGTGGGTCCAATCGGTGTGTCTGTTTCCAACCCAAAATGTTTCGCAGTCTCCTGTGATTTCTTCGGGAGTCGGCCGCACGTGCCTTAAAGTGACCCCCCTTCCCCCTCCCCCCTCCACTGCCATACAGAAGGCTACAACAGGACACGCTTTTCGAACTAGTACTACCTCCCCCCTCCCTCCCTTATGGTGTGGTGCCCAAGGCCGGAGGGTGGCTGCTTTGTCCCTGTGCAGCCCCTGCGTTGCAGTACCTGGCGCGACTGGCAGTTACCCTCTCGCTTTCCCCCGGAAAATAGGAACACGCGCACGCAAGGAGGTTTGGAAGGCTAGCTACACATCCCGCATCACTTGCCTTGTCATGGAAGCAACAACACACAGCAGGCGCTCAAGGTGCTAACAGATAGCCAGAAAGGCACACACTGGCATGTATCTCGTCCGGAGAGGCTGGCAAACGGGCGGGCTTCAGTTGTTCTTGGCTACCAGCGGCAATGGCAAAGGGCCGAAAGGGGCAATGGCACAGCTGGCTGTCATGGCAGCGGAGTGCCAGATTCGGACGGACACGACAGCCCGCCTGTCAAGTTTGAAATGCCTATCGGTATTGCAGGCTCCGGCGGCGGCATCCGGGCGGCGTATTCGCCCTCGTCGGCCTGCGAGTCCCGGCCGAGAAGGAAATCTTGCAGCGGGCGTCCTTCATCTCGACCGTATGCGGCTCGGGCTTCACTGTCGGAGCCATGTACTAGGAGGTTGCGAGCCGCAAGAAGAAAAGGAGCGATGCCAAGAGCGTGCTCAAAAGCATCGAGTCCACCATGGCCAGTCACTCGGAGTGGCTCACGCCTTGGCGCAATGGCGACTCTTCTTACTAACCATCATCGAAGCGTATCTTCAACACGTTTCGGCCATCATTCGTGTCGCACGTGCGGGAAGAAACCAAAAAAGGAAAGAGAACGGCATGTCATCCATCCACATGCGGACGCCAGGCCACCTGTACCACACTCTGCTGGGCATTGGAAAGGCCGGCACACCGCTCTCTCCACAACAAACAAGGCTATGCTTCACGCATACATTGTGGTGGTTGTGGTTGCTGTGGCTTATGCTGTTCTGACTGCAGAGGCGGCAACGCCCAACAGCTTCGGCACCATCCGCACCCTCTGGGCAACGTCTGGCGAAGACAATTTTCAGGGCTCCGTCGCCATGGGCCCCATCTACGGCAGCGGACGGCCTGATTTCACCCTTGTTCGCACCGGTGGCACGTATGTGTGCAGGAACGAAGGCTCGCTGCTGGTATCCTGGGCCTGCCCACGCGTCTACTCTAGCAGTGGTGGCAACTTTGGTGCTGTGGCCAGCGGTCGATTTGTTAATCAGTCGGCGCTTGTCGCCGACCTCGCCGTCTCCACCTCGATGCCCAACGCGGGTGTGCTGAAGAACGTGTACGCCAACGGAACCTTTGATTACGCCCAGTTCTCGGCCTCGCTGAACGCAAAGTGGCTCGCCTCGGGCGTCTTTACCACCGGCACCGAAGTCGATCTTGTGGCGGCGACGGCGACCGAGGTCCTGGTCTTTGTCAACGAGGGCGGTGGATCGTTCCCGCTCCAGCGAATTGTCTACACCTCGACGGCCATCCGCACCCCGTGTCTGGTTGCCCGCATCTCGGATGATACCTTGGACGACGTCGTCTTTGCTGGCGTGACAGGCAGCGGGCATGATGGTATTTGGACCGCAGTGGCCAACGGCGACGGCACCTTTACCACGGTCATGATTGCTGAAGCGCAGGACAGCTCGCTGATCACCACCGCCTTTGCTGCGGGCAATTTTGGCGGCTTTGGTCCCGGCGCCGACCTTGTCTTCTCCACCACTGGCACCAACGCGCTCTACGTGCTCAACCGCACCGCGCCCGGCGTGTGGGGCACGCCGACGAAGATCTTCACGGCAGCATCGAACCCGGCGTCGCTCACCACGATTGCCGCCGAGCCATCGGACCTCATCATCGTCGGCACTCAGTCGGCGCTCCACTGGCTCACCCGCATCGGCGACAGCGCCATGTGGATGAGCGGAACGCGAGCCACTGGCGGCTTTCCGCTCGTCAACGTGTTCACCACCGACGTCGACGGCGACGGGCTGGACGATGTTGTCGCCTCGTCGCGGATCAACCTCTATGGCTTTGCCGGCCAGTTGCTCATGCCACCGCCGCCGCCGCCGCCGTCGCCGCCACCTCCGCCTCCACCGTCGCCACCCCCTCCTCCACCGTCGCCACCACCGCCGCCGTCGCCGCCGCCGTCGCCGCTCCCGCCGCCGCGGACCCCTGTCTCGTACGGTCCTCCGGAGACTCTACTGACGGTGGCGTCGATGGTTGGTGCCTTCTCGCTCGAGGGCGCCAGCCTCGCTACGTCTGCGTCGCTAGTCATTGGCTCAGGTGCTGCCGTCTCGACTTGCGGCCCGAGTTCGGGCGGTGTCTGGGCGTGTGGCTCGCCTGTCATGCTTCCGGGTTCCCACTCGATTGAGGCCCTGACCCGCGGCAGTGTCGAGCCCGACGCCGACATTGTACTGTCAACGACGACGCCGACAACGACGGGCGTACTCAACGATGCCGGGGTGTACTCGCCGTTCTCAACGCTCCTCGCGGCGTCATGGCTAGGAACGGCAGAGTTGTCAGCCAGCGGACGGCTTGATGTGTTGGCTACATCAACCACGCAGGCCTTTGTCTTTTTCAACTCGGGCGACGGCACATTTGCGACCTCGCGCACGCTGCTCACGCCCGCCATGCTGGGCGGCGCCGTGGCCGCCGACCTCAGCACGACCGCGTCAGATGCGAGTGCTGCGCGGGCTGTGTTTGGTGCGGCCGCGCCGCCGCCACCGGCAAACTCGCTCCTTGTCTATGGCGCTGACGTGACCAACGGAACAACCACGCCACGGGTTTGGCGCATCGCGGCAGCGAACGACTATGCGCCGCAGACGGTGGTGACAATGGCCGATGACATTGTCGCGGTCACGGTCGGGTACTTTGATCCCGACGCCAGCGGCGCTCTGCCTGCGATCATGTTCGCGACCTCGCCCGGACCCGGCAACGACACGCTGTGGATTGTGACGCAGCTGGCTGGCGAGTCAGGCTGGGCAATGCCCACAGTCCATTTGTCTCTGGCGGGAGTTCGCGCGCTCGTCACTGTTCCGTCAGCCACGCCGTCGACGGTCAACGACGGAGTGGTGGCGCGGACCGACGCCGGCCTTGTCTGGGTCCGCGACGCGGCGCAGCAGCTGCTGGCGCCGGCCGCACAACGTGTTGCAATCGACGACATCAACGGCGACGGAATCCCGGACGTAGTGGCCCAGTCCGGCGATACCTTTTCCGCGATGTACGGCTTTGCTCCGCCGCCGCCGTCGCCGCCACCGCCACCGTCGCCTCCTCCTCCGCCGCCACCGTCGCCGCCGCCGCCGTCCCCCCGCCGCCGCCGACGCCGGTCCGGTACCTCCCATCACCCAAGGACGACCACACCACCGCCATTGTGGCTGGCAGCGTCTCGACGGTCGTCGTCCTCCTCATCATCATCGCGGTCCTCGTTGTTGTCCTCGTCCGCAAGCGGGCCGCCAACGCCACCGGCGCTAGCTCCAAGTCTGCTGCCAACCCCGACTTTGACAGCGTCCCGCTCATGGGCGATAGCGCAGCCGGGAATGGCGCAAAAGGCACTACCTCATACGGCGCCACCCCAGCACCCGCACCCGCACCCGCGCCCGCATCGGATTCTGCTGTGTAAACAAAACGGCTCCAGACATGTCACCTCTACGCCACGTGTCGTCCAACCACGGCAATCGGCCGACTCGACAGCAGGCCCGACGACTCCACTCCGACCCCCCCCCCCCCCCCCCCCCACCCACCCGCACCCCCCCCGCTCCTCCCTGACCCACGCATCGACACATAAGCCATGTCCGGAGTACCATACCCCGACAAGTACCACCATGCGGTGCGGTATGTGGAAGAGAGCGAAGAGTTCCAACAGGCCATGGCACAGCTCTCGTCGTCCGACTCGCAGAGTACCTGGCTTGTCCTCTACGCCACCCGGAAGCAGGTCGAAGAGGGCCCATGTAAGGAGGCCGGTCCATGGAGATGGGATGTGGTGGCCCGAGCAAAGTATGACACATGGTCTGCTCTGGGAAGTATGTCTCCTGTTGAAGCCATGCATAAGTATGTCGTTGCTCTCGAGTCGGTTGTTGGTCCGCATTGGCTCGACGCCCTCACCGCAGACAGCCAACGTGATGACGATGGCCGCAACCACAACCGCAACCACAATCGCAATCGCAATCGCAACCGTAGCCGTAGCTGCGACCGCGACCACCACCACGACTGCAGTCGTGATGGCAGCAACAAGATCGGCGAGGTGCGCGGAGAGGTGACAGTTTGCTCTGGCTCGACTGCTGTTGGCGATGCTGTCTCTGATGCGACTCGTGGTGATGGTGGCCATGGCTCGCATGGTGGAAGTGGTGAGAGTGGTAGGAAGAAACAGGCGGGCAAGGGCAAGGGCAAGGGCAAGGGCAAGGGCAAGACGCGTCGTCGGAGTCGCCGTCGGGCGGTGCCGGGTGAAGCTGTGGTGGATGACAGATCCGAGGAAGAGCTTGCTGAGAACGAGGACGAGCATCCGCCGAGCTTGCCGCCTCTGGTCGACGATCCAGTCCTGCCGCGGGCGTATGGCATCGGACCACCGAGCTCGTCATCGTCATCGACGTCGTCGTCATCTTCGTCGCCAGAGTCGCGCCCGTCGCGGCGGCTGTCGGACGCGTCCTCGTCGTCGCTGACGACGCTCGAGGTGGCGCTTGCCGCGCGCAAGGCTGCCCGTGCCAAGCTCGAACAAGAGGTCGTCGAGTTGCAGGAGCTTGTTCGCCAGCGGCGTGCCGAGGCTGCTGCTACCGCGGCGGCAGCGACAAATCACTCAGCTGGCCCGTCGCCGCCACCGCCACATGCTGCGCGCTCAGCGTCCTCGTCGTCACCATCGCCGTCGCACCGCGATTCGCCGATCCCGGTTGTTGTCGAGCCCGAGGGCGGCTTCTGGTCGGCCGTCCTCTCGCCCATCACCTGGATGTTCCCATCGTCGTCGTCGGCGCCGGCCTCAACGCCGCCTTCTTCGACCCGCCGCCGCCGCCGCCGCCGCGTGCCAAGTAAGGACCCACCCACAGCGTCCCCGTTGGCCTCGCGCCGCCACAATCACCGCGATCGCCGCGGTGGCTACCAATGAAGCCGCGGACATCCTCCTGCTCCGCGCCCACCAGGCGATGGCCGTCGCGATTAGCCGTCGCGATTAGCCACCATTTCCTCCCCATCATCCAGCTCAATACCTTGCCCACACTCTGCTCTTTCCATGACTAGCCTCCATGCTGCACTACCTGCCCCTCTCCGCCCTACCTCATTCATCGCCTGAATGGGGAGCGTGTGTCGTGCGGCAGGAGGCGGGAAGTGCGGGACGGGAATCGGGCCGACTGCCACCGTCGAGGTCACTTGACTATCGTATTCGCCATGGTACGGTGACGGAGAGGGGGTATCTGGGCTGAGTGCGGAGGGTTAAGGGAGGGAATGGAGCACTTATGTGGGGAGGGGTGTACAGTCTGCGACATACGAGGACAATGAGTTCCCTCCTGGGCAGACCAGTATTGGTGCAGAGGCCTGGAATGGTACGTCCAGTGGGTGGGTGGGGTGGGTGGTGGGGGGGGCGAGACAGACATGGCAACGCAAACGAATGGCAAACGATCATGTTGGTTCATTGATGATGGGGTCAACGAACAAATGGAGCCATGAGGCACCATGGTGAGCCAACGAACAAATGCTGTAATTTATGGCACGATTGATGGCACGATTGATGGCACGATTGATGGCACGATTGACGGCACGATTAGTGCCACGATTAATGCCACGATTGATGCCACGGTTATTGTGACACGCAATCATACCATCAATGCTGGCTAGGCAAGGACTCACTTTCGTATGGCTGGCTGCCGGGAGAGGAGGGTAGAACAGGGAGGTCGGGTGGCGTTTATGCGGCCAAAGGAGTACGCGCCGTCGCCGGCGTTCCTCCGCGACGGCATC